ATAATTTTGAAAACATTTCAGACTGGAGCTCCTGCATCTCTGCGCATTCTACCGAAATTGGCGCATACTACAATTATTAAAAAAAGTGTACAACCAATTGCCGCTAGGTCTGTAACACTTTCAACACCAACGATCCAGCTGGATAAGCCAGTTGCAACTGGAAGAGAATCGCTATTAAAACAGCAAAATCAGTTAACACAGCAAAATACCCTTAAGACAACAACTACACTTTTACAGCAACCGCCCGTAAAACTAACGACACAACAACAACTTCCGAAACCGTTCACTATACAGACAAATAACTCTATACGCCCAAATACCCAAAACTCCACTTTAAANAACTACACTTTTACAGCAACCGCCCGTAAAACTAACGACACAACAACAACTTCCGAAACCGTTCACCATACAGACAAATAACTCTATACGCCCAAATACCCAAAACTCCACTTTAAAACAAACCATTTTACCATCTAAAGCTTATAAATGGCAAACAACTCAAGAATATCTGATGGCTAAAAGGCAATCTACGTAAGTAATTATTAATGTTCCTGAGCACTTGTAGCTCCATATATTGGTATTTTCTTTCAGCGCAAACGGATTGACTCAGCAAAATAATCCTGCAAAATTAGCCACAAATCAGCAAATAACAAAACCATTGAATATACAGGCTAAAAACTATACACCGCAAATTTCAATGACTTCAGTTCCAAAACCTCGTAAGTTGCTGCCTAAACCTCAGGTACCAACGGCTACGCTTCAGACAAATGTTACACCTCAGCAACGTTCAGAGCCGCAGTTCCAATATATTGAATTGTACGTAGTCGTAAGCCATTTTGGACTCGAATAATCGTTTTTTTTTCTTCTTTCAGCATAAATGAAGCGTTATTTGATTATGAGGAAACTAATAAAAAGCAAGTTATTTCAGTGTCTGATTCTGAAGATAATACCGCAGAGATTGAGGAAAAAACTCTAGAGTAAATGTTTAATTTAAAGCTATTCGACTGGATTGCTTTTTTATTTTTCTTGAATTATGTTTACAGATATTTGTTGCAAAAACGCAAAACCCCCTCAATCGACTTAGAAACGGAAACGCGGCACGCAGAGTGTGTTTCAAAATGTGTTCAAACCGATCAACCGTAAGTTAAAAAAAGAAAAAGCAAAAAAAAAACAATCATCTTATTCCTTCCACTATTCAAAGAGATGATGATCGAGTTTATTGCGGCTTCGTAAATGTTACAAAAGATGGGTCTGACAAATATTTTAATCTTCGCTGCTTTTATTGCGATGCAGAGTATCCGATATCGTTTTATTCAGATTTTTCTGATCATATAAATGAAAATCATGGTAACCTGGAAAAGATTCATGTCAATGAAAACCATGGGAACTTGGAAATGTTTCATGTTGAAAACGATGATAAGAATACTACAAATGAAATGGTATTTAGCGATTTTTCTGATTCGAGTGACGATATGCCACAAGAAGATTCGCAACATAGAAAACTCTTTATCAACTTAATCGATACGGGAGCTAAGGAGACATATATTCCATCAATGAAAAACAAGAAGGAACTGTTACCAGAAGATTTTGACGATGGCGAGGAGCCTGAAACCGGAAGTGAATCAGAATCAAATTACATGTGTGTAGAAAAATATGACCCCAATATTGATCACTGCTACAGTCAAAGCGGCTCAAATGTAACTGAACATGTTATGATGATTTATTAGCTGTTTATTTATGAATTTAAAAATTGTTTTTCAGAAATTCAAATTCAAGAGTGATGCACAGCCAGTGGATGAGGTAANTATGATGTTTATTTATGAATTTAAAAATTGGTTTTCAGAAATTCAAATTCAAGAGTGATGCACAGCCAGTGGATGAGGTAATCAGAATATATAAGGCCTCTTTTACAACTGTAAAAAAGTAGCTTAACTTAGCTCACTATTAATACGCAGTATCTATTTTCAGATAATTTTCGGCAAAACATCACGTGAGATTGTGTTGGATTTTTTGGATCATTTAAAAGGATTCTCGTGTTTGTGGCGCCATCGTGACTTGGCGCCGGTGAATTATGATAATGAACTGTTGGATTTGATGGATATATTGGTAGACAAATGGGGACTGAATTTGAAAATACGACCTTTTCGCAAAAATTTGGAGAATATAAAATCTTGGTATATTGGGATGACCATATCGAAAGAAGAGATGGGTGAAAAATTCAATGAACACACATATATCGATTTCTATAAAAAATGTGCAGAATACTTGCCCGTTGGAAACACGAGTAAACAACATAAAATTCACTGTAATCTGTGCGATCGTTTTTGTTTTGACATGATCGGCTTACAGATGCACAAATATAGAAAGCATAAAATTGGGCAATTGCCCCATGGGTGTAGTAAGTGCGACAAACGTTTCGATTACGTGCACAAATTGCGTCGCCACATACTGAAGAATCACACGATCATTCCGGTGCCGATTCGTAAGTATGTTCCACCCAAACCTGCACCGCCGCCGGAGCCTGATACCAAATGCTTCGAATGTAACACTGACTTTCCCAATTCAGAGGAATACAAAAGACATTTGGAAATCCATCCTAGAGGTGACTGCCCTTATGCATGTGAAGAGTGTGGACGTCGATTTAAAACTGTCTCTGTTCGTAATTCGCATAAAAAACGCCATCAAGAGCCAAGCTTTCAATGCTTATTGTGTCCGAAAAAATTCTTTTTCGCGTATCACTTACAACAGCACATTAGTTGCCACAAAGGTGATCCGAACTATATTTGTGAATTGTGTGGAAAAACATTCATCCGTCAAAAATTATTCAAGGAACATGTCGACTATGTGCACCTCGGTCGTGGCTATTGTAAAATTTGTGATCGTCACTATCATAAGAGGTCTATACTCCATAAACATTTATGTAATGTGCATCGACCGGTAATTGGCTCAGTTGATGATCTGGCAAAACGTCGTCGTCAAATGCTCCGCGAACCGGGAAGTAGGAAGGGCTTAGGGGCAGGACCCCGCCCCCAAACAAGAAAGTACACATACTTGACTGATCCTGTGACGCAAAAACGTCGAATCGCATGTCCCAAATGTGATAAGAGCTATTGTCAATATGATTCTTTATACGCACNGCTTTGTTCCAAGCAGTTTACCAAATTTAAAGGAACAGTCGCCGGTAAAAACCGAGGCAGCACCGTGTGTCAAAAGCGAAGAGTTTGATGTTAATGATTATGAGTTTATGTTAAATGGTAGTTCCGTTTTAAATTTTTAATGATTTTTTCTTATAAATTTCTTAGATTAACCATTTTTAATGCTGCAGTGTGTGAATGTATTTAAAATAACATAACATTCGTTATAAATGAAAAGGTCCTATTTGCANACTTTGTTCCAAGCAGTTTACCAAATTTAAATGAACAGTCGCCGGTAAAAAACGAGGCAGCACCGTGTGTCAAAAGCGAAGAGTTTGAAGTTAATGATTATGAGTTTATGTTAAATGGTAGTTCCGTTTTAAATTTTTAATGATTTTTTGTTATAAATTTCTTAGATTAACCATTTTTAATGCTGCAGTGTATGAACGTATTTAAAATAACATAACATTCGTTATAAATGAAAAGGTCCTATTTGCAATAATTTTGGAAAATTTTTCCTTTAGTTTGCTTTCATATAGTCGACCTCACCGAAATTCAAAGCAAAATACGAGATTTATTTGCATCTTAAGATCCATCCTATACAAATTTAATAAGTTTTTACTTTAATGGCGCGGATATTATAGAAAACAAATACTGAAACATATCGTTAGTATAGTATGGAAAGGGCGTAACTCACAATGTCGCTGAAATACAAAAAGCCGTAACTAACTAAAAATCCAAAATTCACTTTTTGATTGATGCATTTCATCGAATTATAAGTCCCCACATCGTTTTATGCAATAAAAAATGTTAGTTAGATGTGGCTTTTTTGTATTTGAGCGACGATGTCAGATACGCACTTTCCATACTATACTAACGACAAGTATGTGTAATATATTTAACTTTAATGGAATAAATTTTGTCTATCTACTTCATATTTACCTCATGAGTTTTTGTACTAAGCAGATATATACAATAGTCTGGTCTGACTGAGTCAGTATTGCAATTGAATTCCCCGTGGGTTGAAAACTTATTTCCGAGCGGGGCGTTTTGACCTCTTACAACCATGCTCTCATGTGGGAGTTTTAACGAATGTTTAAAAAGATTATTATTAAAAAAATTTCTTCCATTTCAATAGAGACATAAAATCATAGAACTAACGGCCGATTGTTCGCCTACTATAAGTACTAGCTTTTCAAATAGCGTCGGCAATATAATTTCTCAATTAAAAGTAAAAAAAATTATGATTCATACAGAAAATTAATACAAAAAAATGTGAAAAAATGGTGATTTTATTGAAAGTATTTTGAATTTTCAGTGCATTTAAAGCAGTTCGCGGCATGTGGAATGCGGCTCCTTTATTCCGTACATCGTGCAACGGTACACCACTAAACCGAAAAAATGGCAACTCTGCCAACTACTCACGCTTGGTGGCACTTTTCGCGAAGTAGTTGACAGTTCAGAGTAGTTTACGGCAAGAGCGGCAACTCTACCAATCGCGGCGAGTAGTAGGATTGTTCGATATTTAAGAAAGTATCGATATCATGAATCGATTTAATTCATTGCATGTAAAATCCATATGGCGATATATCGGGCTGAACAATATCGATATCGGAAAAATCGATGTTGAAAATCCTACTCCCAATTTAATAGAATGTTAGACCTGCCTGTCAACTCATCTAATTGTGTTAGTCGACGTTCAGACACGAAAACTTTTGTTGCGGAAACTCGAAGCTTGTAGGGGAGAGAGCGACGAGGAAAGGGGACGGGTACCGAGTCGCCCGTACTCGGGAAACACGCTTTGTGCTCTCGTTCGTCTGAGTAATTCAAGTTGGCGATTCACAGCTGACAACAACAATTGCGTACAAAAGAGTTTCTGTGTGTGAATGCAAAGGGCAACACCAAAAGAGAAATCGCCGATAATAAGAAACTCGAGTTTCCGTGTTTGAACGCAGACTAATTTCCATTTTGTATATCTACTGAGGATTAAAACGGCATGCCGGTCGAATTAAGCGGTTTGTGAAATTGTTGTGTGAAAATAACTTTAGTATTTTCCCATACACTTTTTTGTAGATGAAAGATAAATTTCAGCTTAAATATCGATATTGCGGGTAAAGTATCGATGTCTTCGATATATCGACCTTGGACTATCGATTCGAAAAATCGATTATCGTGCGATATCATTCAGAATAATCGACACGGGTACTGTTTATGAATTTGTACAACGATTTTGGGTTGCTGTGCCCAAACACGTGAATCGAATCAAAAAACTTTATATGGTATTTGTTGCAAATTTTTGTTATAAATTTGTATATACATTTTTATATATAAGATATTTTTATAAAATACCCAGTAACCAAAATAGACATCACTAGGGCGGCAGCCCCAGGTTTACCGCACAGAAAGAGAAATCTAGTTACCTCTTCCTTTCTCAAGGTTACATCACTGGGGCGGTAGCCCCAGTTATGTCACACAGAAAGGAGAATTCTACGTAGTAAGGGTTATAATCTCTAAGCGCGGCCGAAGGCCGCCTACGCAGAAAGGTGTTCTCTGCAAAAGGTGTTCAGCCCCCTTCTTCGGACGCAAGTTTAACTTTGTTTTTTCCTTGCAAAAAATCTAAAATTCCCCTATTTTCAAACAGCTCCCCAGGGGTCTGTGGGAGGGGTTGGGGGGAGGGGTGACTTTTCATAAAGCGGCATCAATCCTCTTTCGTTTAGGGGGGATTTGTGGGGCCCACACCCCCGCCCCTCCGCCCCCACACCTAAATCGTTGTACAAATAGCTAAACATTTCCCATCGACACGGCAAGGCGAATACATTTTCGATATCGGAAACATAGATGTTGAAAATCTTACTTCCAATTGAATAGAATATTAGACCTGCCTATCAACTCACCTAATTGTGTTATTTCCATCTTGTATATTTACTGAGGATTAAAACGGCATGCCGGTCGAATCAAGCGGTTTGTGAAGCTTAAGAGCTAAATAAATCACACAAGCTGCTGATTAAACCTACTTTAGTATTTTCCATACACTTTTTTTATTTCAACTTAAATATCGATATTGCGGGTAAAGTATCGATGTCTTCGATATATCGACCTTGGAATATCGATTCAAAAAATCGATTATCGTGCGATATTATTCAGAATAATCGACACGGCAAGGCGAATTCATTTTACAACAAACACATCATTTTGACATTAAAAGTACCGCGGCGAAAATCTAAATTCGCCCATCAACATCACCTTGTATAAATTCGCCTTGCAAAAAGTTCAATGCAGCAAAAGTGTAAAAATCATTTGAAATTTTATTTAAAAACTCTTTCGAATTTAATGAAAGAATTCATTTGCAAAACGTAGCAATAACGCGTAGTATAAGTGGAAGTTAAGAGTAAAGTGTTTACAATAGCTTCGGTTGTGATAAGCGATCGCGCGTTTTTGTGTATTGCGTTGGTTTTTTCGGACAAAGTTTTAGAATATTCGTTCACACTTATGTATGCCCTGGGATTATACTTCATTAACTACGCGCTGATATGCACTAATGAATGATGTGCAAAGATTTGGCATATGGTTTCCAGAGTTGATAGTGATTATTGTGGCGTTGGCCAACCGTTGGCCACGGGCCTAGTGACATACGCGTGCCCCACTAAGCTAACTAATGAAAGTCTCAAATGCATGTACTTTGTCATTGCTGTGTCAATGTGGAGCTTCCTCTTAAGTGAATTTAAAGCAATAACTTGCAAAAAAATAAATAAATAAAATACCTATTAGTTATAATTTCAAAATGGATTCAAGCACAAGTATTGGTGAGTAGTTTGCTTTCTTGTATCTTATATCAAATTCTCATTTCAAATTGAATTTTCAATTTAGCTGCTGCCTTGGCTATTCTGGCCGCAGCGTGTATTCTTGGTCTTTTGAATTTGAAATCAAAAATTAATTAGCTAATTTAGCTTTGGTGGGTGGTTTTGGTATCTTCATTTAAAGTGGAGGGATTGTTATTAAAAGTTTATGTTTTGTACAACAAATAGTAAAATATCTGAGGACATAGTGTTAAGACACCAATGGGCTGGTCGCTATGCAGCTCAGTCAAGAAACAGTCGCAAGCAGCATTGAAGTAAAATATACAGCAGCAGTTGAGAAGGCTTAAAGTTAAACTGGGTGATTGAATTTTATTATGTAGTACATAAATCATGTTTTTTTTACGAAATTCATAGTAGATATATTATCCAATCTTGTGGAAAAATTCTAACGTCATTGCAAAGTAAATGGACGGCGGTGCCTCCAAAATAAAAATTCCCTTTAAAGGGAAATTTTTTCTTTAGTGTTGCCAGAGAATTTCTTTGTTTTTATACATTTTGAATAAATAAAGGTTGCAAGTCGTGACTGCAACTGAAAGACTGCAAATCTATTTCGGAAATATATTTCAACTTGCTTGCAATTTCTGAGAATGTTTAGCTATTTGCCCTCTGTTTTTGGGTTAGTGGGCGGAGGAGCAGTTGGCGTGGCTCTTCGATACCCCACTCACTAGAAAGCACAGCTCAGACTTTAAAAAAGTTATACCTCACCCCTCCAACCCAAAAAAAACCCCAGTATTTTTGCGCAGAACTTGGTGATGCAGTCACATTAAACTAATCAATATCTTAAAAATAGCGTTCTCCATTTTTGGATATCTCCTTTACGAGATATTAGGATAAAAAGTGTCGTTAATTTGGTAGAAATTTTGATCACACTGTAGTATTTCTTACTTATGGCTGCCAAATTGTGGACAAATTACGCTTGGGACAAATTCTTACTAAAGAAAATCCTTCATAAACTTAAAACTAATTAACAATCAACATTACAAATTAAATAATTTAAGGATTTTGGTAACAAGTAACATTTTCAGATACGTTGGAGAAAATCTATCTTCGCGTTTTTGAGAAATTACATTCCAAACTTCAATCGTGATTTCCCACAACCTGCCGAAATTAATATACGGCAATCTTTTACCCAGACGACGATATGCACAAGATCCTGAACAGCCCTATTGATTGTAAATTATCAGCATTGTTTTAGGTCTTTAAAGACTCAATAAATAAATATTGTATGTGAAAATTAAAGCTGTTCCTCTATTCGGAATCATTGACCCACATCAGTGCTCCAGAAAGTTTTAGTTGTATTTGGTATATATAAGCCAAAACTTAAGCGTTAATAAAATGGAAAATTTTGAGAGGCAGTGTATCCACCATAAACTCTGGGATCCAGGTTACAGAATTCAAAAATTAATTAAAAAAAATCCTTTTTTATATAGCTCGGAGTTTTTTTTACCTTACTAATTTTACCTTTAAGGAGAGCTGGAAGTAAAACTTTTAATTTTGCGCAAATATTATTAAATTGAAATATCTGAAATTACCGACTTTAACAGTTTATAAGGTATTTTTAGTTCACTGTTATAAGTGCCATAGCACCGAATTCGAAATACGTACACCTTATTTTGGTTTCAAAAGATTTTTTCAGCACTTAAACTTATAAAATTCGTTATTTTTGTTAAAATTGCCGAAAATGTGAAAACAACCTTACGTCAATAAATGCTCAATCTTAACAAAAATATGTAGCTCTTCATTTTAGCTACTATTAATATTATTTAGCTCTTTTTAGCTCTTTTTTTGAACGTTTTAGCTCCAAATGAAATTTTTCTCTGGCAACATTGAGCCACATGCTTTNGGCAGTGTATCCACCATAAACTCTGGGATCCAGGTTACAGAATTCAAAAATTAATTAAAAGAAAATCCTTTTTTTTTATAGCTCGGAGTTTTTTTTACCTTACTAATTTTACCTTAAAGGAGAGCTGGAAGTAAAACTTTTAATTTTGCGCAAAAATTATTAAATTGAAATATCTGAAATTACAGACTTTAACAGTTTGTAAGGTATTTTTAGTTCANTTCTAAGCTGCAAAAAAATTTGCATGGGCTGATAGCTTGCAAGGTATAGTCGGACGAACACAACCCTGATAATCGAAATTTAAAAATGCTGTAGCCAAACGATAAACTGACGGACGAAATCCAGAGACCTGTGAACGCCCTTCGGACCACAATAGCTGAACTTCGCTCTGGCTATTGCAGCAGGTTGAACTCGTACCTGAGCAGAGCGTTCGTCATACGGCTAGAAACATCTCTTCGCGTGCCCACTAAACCCCACTCAACTGACGCATCTGTCCCTATCGACGGATCCTATGAAGGGTTTCGCCGATCTAAGCGGGGTTAGATCGCCGAAACAACAGCCCATGGTCGAGTAAAAACCGAGTCATTCCGGTACGTAGAACCGGCTGTCTTGGGAAAGACAGCCCTTGGTCGGGTAAAACCCGAGTCATTCCGGTACGTAGATCCGGCTGTCTTGGGAATGAGTCCAAGAAGAATTGAACCAGGGGTCCCACAAGGTGGTGTTCTCTCCCCCTTACTATTTAACTCCTACATCTCGGAGCTGACGAATGCTCGATTTTGGCATCCGGGAATGGAATTGATGACCTCTGCTCAAAACTAAACGACTATATCTCCAGCCTTTCTCGCTCCTTCACTGCAAGAAGCCTAACACTCCCCAACGAAATCAACGGCGACCCTCTTCACCACCTGGACGAAGGAGGTCAGGCTAGAATTAGGTATACACGTCGATGGCACACCAATACCGACTGTAAACAACCCAAAAATTTGAGGGGTCACCTTCGATAGCCTGCTCTCCTACTCCACGCTTACAAACGCAGTTGTCAATAAAGCACAGAGCCGTAACAAGGTCCTCAAGTCGCTCGCCGGCAGCACTTGGGGCAAAGACAAAGAAATGTTGCTGGCAACATACAAGGCAATTGGGCGGCCGGTTCTAAACTATGCCGCGCCTTGTCAGAACGCCGCACTCCGGACAGCGACTGGGTGCCTTCTGATGACGCCTGAGCACCACCTACACAGCGAGGCCCAAGTACTCCCCATAAGCAATGCTTTGTAAGCAATTTCTGGTGGGGTGTTACAGAAGCGAACACCCAAACAGACCTCTGCTTCAGGAGAAGCCTCCGCCCAGGCACGTCAGGGGCACCTATTCGTATAAAAGGACGCAGTCCAGCAATACGTAGACCAACCACTGGACCCGACGACATACAGACGAGCCATTAACGACATCCATAGAGAGTCAGTCACCACCTACCTCGACTCTCGACCTATGAATGCCGTAATAGGAGCCCAATCACCACCTGTAGAAGAGACGGAGCTTCAACTGCNCAATATCCCCAATGAGTGCCCGGCATGTGGAGAATCCCCTCACGACACCAACCACCTCTTCACATGCCAGCTCAATCGGACTCAGCTAACACCCCTCTCCCTCTGGTCCGAACCCATTGAAACAGCTCGTTTCCTGGACCTCCCGTTAGTTGAGCTTGACGAAAATGATTGAACGTTGACCCGATATAGGCGGGGCTTAGAAATGCCGCTACTACAACAACAACAACGGATCCTATAGAAACTGCACGATTCTTGCGCCTCTCGTTAGTTGAGCTTGACGAGAACGATTTAGAGACTAGCCGATCTGTATGGGGTCGTTGTAGCCGCTACAACAACTACACCAACAACCTTAATATGGCAAACAAGACTATCAAGCTTTTTGACTAAACGTCTTAAGGCCCGTTGACGGTTAGACTTTTCAGTGTGGCTTTAGAACTGCTAGATCCACCTTGGATAGATAGTATTTACCATACACCAAGTCTTGGAAAAGAACCGATGGGGGAGGATGGTCATACCATCTTTTTGTAAATTTTTAGGGCAATTAAACTGAGTTTAAAGAACGGCCGTGCATTGAAATACTGGCCCTTAGTACAGCAAGAAAAAAAGTATATGTATATATAAAATAAAATAAAATACAATTCCTATTGGGCATACGTTTAGAACTAAAAACGACGCGTAGATGGCGCTCTTAATTATCGTCATTTGACATTCGGCTATTATGAACTTTTTTGGGGTTAGATTTACGCAATTGACTTTTACACGGAATATTAGCGGCGTGAATTTTCTGTCGTATTTCCTTGTAATATCAAAGAAAAACTTTGTAAGTATTAAAAATATCAACCCAATTGCTATATTTTACAAATGATCAAATACATATTCGATGTTTCATCAGAATCATCAAGAGGAGCAATGTCTGCTTTTGTTGCCGTACGTCAAGCAAGTGCACTGAGCGTTGCGGTCGCTGCTGTGGGTCGTTGCAGCGCTGGCCGTCGAGCATTTAGTACTGGACGACTGATTCGTAGTGCGAGGGGAACTGCTGCTGCACTTTTGCGTGGTCCACATCGTCTACCCACATTTTCTGCGGCCCCACCTACTTTCCAACATTATGTGCGATCATATGCAAATGAGAAAAGGGTATTCGAGCGTACCAAACCCCACTGCAATGTCGGCACAATCGGTCATGTGGATCACGGAAAGACCACTTTAACGGCTGCTATCACCAAAGTGTTGGCAGAAAAGGAACTAGCTGAAAGTAAGAAATACAATGAAATTGACAATGCACCAGAGGAAAAGGCACGCGGAATTACTATCAATGTAGCTCACGTGGAATACCAAACAGAATCCCGTCATTATGGCCACACTGATTGCCCCGGTCATGCTGATTATATTAAAAATATGATCACCGGTACGGCGCAGATGGATGGCGCTATACTAGTGGTTGCTGCCACTGACGGCGCTATGCCACAAACTCGTGAACATTTATTGCTAGCAAAGCAAATCGGCATAAACCACATTGTAGTGTTTATCAACAAAGTTGATGCTGCTGATCAGGAAATGGTCGACTTGGTTGAGATGGAAATTCGTGAGCTGATGTCTGAGATGGGTTACGATGGAGATAATGTGCCTGTTGTGAAAGGCTCGGCGCTGAGTGCTTTGGAAGGCCGAAATCCTGAAATTGGATCCGAGGCAATTATGAAATTGTTGAACGAGGTTGATAACTTTATTCCTACACCTGCACGTGAATTGGATAAACCTTTCTTACTGCCAGTTGAAGCTGTGTATTCCATTCCTGGACGAGGTACTGTCGTCACCGGTCGTCTGGAGCGCGGAGTGGTTAAGAAAGGCAACGATTGCGAATTTGTGGGCTACAATAAAGTTATTAAATCTACAGTAACTGGTGTTGAGATGTTCCATCAAATTCTTGATGAAGCCCAAGCTGGTGATCAGTTAGGGGCTTTGGTACGTGGTGTGAAACGCGATGATATCAAACGTGGTATGGTAATGTGCAAGCCTGGTTCAGTTAAAGCGCTTGATCAGCTGGAAGCACAAGTGTACATATTAGCGAAGGAAGAAGGTGGTCGCCATAAGCCATTCATGTCATTCATTCAATTGCAAATGTTTTCTCGTACATGGGATTGTGCAGTGCAAGTACAGATACCCGATAAAGAGATGGTGATGCCTGGCGAGGATACTAAATTGATTTTGCGTCTCATAAGACCAATGGTATTGGAACAGGGGCAGCGATTCACACTGCGAGATGGCAACTTAACCTTGGGCACAGGTGTTGTAACGAAAGTACTGCCGCCACTTTCTGAAACCGAACGCTTATCGTTGACCGAAGGCAAGAAGGCACGTGAGAAGAAGGAAGCTGCCAAGAAATAAACTAGTAAAACGGTTTTTGTTTTAATTATATTTAGTTTTATATGAATATCTAATACCTTTGTAATTTTAAAGAGGGAATCGGAATGTGTAATGAAAAATGTGTTTCAATTGCATTTCGATTTTTATAATTGAGTATGAAAGTTGCATTCAACTTCATAATTCCATACATCCAGTTGATTGCTAAATAAAAAAGTTGGACCAATATGAAAAAAAAATGTTGCTTTCCTGTATTGATGTCGAAAAAAAACGGGATGGGTTGAGCGCCGAAAAATTTAGAGTTGCAGACCATGAGGACGGAATGGGTAACATTCCCACGACAATTGGGTCTACGTAACCGGAGCGACCCAGATTTATATATGGCCTAAGACTGCCACTCCAGCAACACTCCCCAAAAACCCTTTGGGAACTTGTATGCTGCTACAACAACAACAACAACACCGGATTGGGTAAAGAAGAATCGATCAGTCTAACAATATTGGTATACATTTTGCGTTATCCTGACATCCAGGAAATTATACTATAATTCTTGATAGGGGCTATAAATATAAATGTGTGTGCATTTAGCGCTTACACATTTTTCTTCGTGTTTGGCCGGGCTTCTCCCCAATTTATGACATGCGTCTTGAATGTTGTTATAAAAATGGAGTGAAAGACGGCTATATGCCGACTCCGCACGGCAAATGTTTTTTTTTGCGATAAGCTTTTTCATGGAAGAAGTTCACTCGGAGGTCTGCCAGGGGCCGACCGCTATTAGAATTTAAATTTTTTGGATGTTGCCCCTGTCAATACACACTAACGCCAATATTCAATACAAAATATTTCTAAAGTAAATTGCAGTAAAAACAGGATTCAAAAAAAGTAACTTTAAATACCTTGTTCTTATATAATACAACCCTCAAACCATATTTTTAAATTAAATCATTACTTCCTCAACTTTTCAGATCCGCTCAATGATTCTGCGCCAATGCCAGAACTAAGTTTTGAGGATTTATTGGACGATTCGCCTGTAAAGAAGGCAATTGCCGATATCGACGACCCTTTGGGTCTCGAAGATGAGGTCAGCACACTAAAAAATGACACTTTAAATACGCCCGGGCCCAAGAAACCACCACAACATATGAAACTAGCTGCAACCGGACCACGAACCTCGGCCACTAATCCATCGCCAAGTGCGAATAGCACAACTGAAAGGACCCCAATCATGACAGCAACATCAACAAAACTAGCTTCTGCTGCAACAAACACAGCAAGTGCTACAAAAAGCGCAACGACCACAGCAACTTCAGCACCGATTGTACTGAACAGTAGAAATATTTTACCAAAATCAGTTGCAAGTGGCAGTCAGTTAGTAAAAATTACACCAAAAATAATAGTGTCTAGCGCACCGACACTCTCGAAGAGCCCTTCAACATCAACAGTTACTGTGACAGCTACAACGACGGCGGATGGCAAAACGGCTATAAAGACACCGAATGGACAAATATTGTATATCCAAAAAAAGACTACTCCTACGGCTGCCAGCAATGTGGGTACTGCATCCATAAGCAACTCTGCGCTTGCAGCTGCAACAACATCGGCAACTGGCAGCAATAAAACCGTTGCCTTCAAACTAATGCGTACATCCGGTAGTGGTGGTTTGGTGCCTATCAAAAACACAAATGCAGTTGCCACAACCACTACAACAGGCGCAACAACAACAAAAGCTGATGCAACATACAAGAATACGCATACAATGTCGCCAAAAATTGCCACCCAATTGACAGCGCCCGTCGGCAACAAACGCGTCATATCTACTGCAGGCGGACAGGTTGTGGTCAAGACGTCACAAGCAGCGGCTGCAACAGTAACAGCAGCAGCAACCAACAATAAAATGGTAGCTAATAGGTCAACAGTGGCTACCGCTGCATCGGGGACCACAACAACATATCGGTTGAGTGGCGGTACACTAACAAGTCACACTACTATTGGCACTAGCAGTACCACTCATATAGCTAATACCAACAAAGCGTCTGTGTCCGGTGGGCACAAAATTTACGTACAAAGTGCCAATGGCAAGCAAATTCTTGTCTCCAATCAACAACTTATCAAATTGTCTCCAAAGCCAACCACCCCAAGTGCAACTTCAACCTCTGCAGCATCCAATGCAGGCACATCGACTAGCGCCTCAACTGGTGGTACCACGGCACGTCAACTGCAAGCGATACAGTTGCCCGGCAAGTCAGTGCAATACTTGCGTGTGTTTCCGAAAGGTAGCGCGGATATCAGTGGTAATGCTACGTCTGCCGCACCTCCAACAGCTACTTTAACGAGCACATCATCGGCGGCAGGCACCACACAAAGCCCCAATCCAACGTCGTCGACGATTAAGATATTAAATTCTGCTGGCGTGCCCCCAAAATTCACTGTTGTACGCCCAAGTCCGACGGGATCGGCGAAACTCATTTTAACACAGTCACCTAAGAAAGACGGCTGTGTACCGGTCACTTTTTCCCCGATCACTTCAAAAGTGGTAAGTAGCCTTCGAAAACAGAATTTGAAAGTAGTATTTGAAATCTAAAATTGTTTTCTTATATTCAGCAAAAAACCATAGTAACTGTACCCCATTTGCGCGCGATAGGCGATGGATCGCGTAGTCAAAGTGCGGCCGCTGCCGCTAACGCTCATTTAGTCAATACGAATACAAATCAGTCGTTGATAAAAAGTAATTCTGGTGTGGGTACTGTTACCTCAGTGTCCAACCCATCCAACACATTGATGCGTAAACATAAAATCTCTGAAATCAATTCCGAACTAAAGCGCATAACGACAGCAAGTAGCACAAGTGCCGCAGCAGAGGCTGAAAGTATCGTTGATGTTGGTGCACCACCTGAGGCGAAAAAGTTGGCGTCTGGCAGTCGTATAGTAATGTTGCCACGTTCAATGCTACGCACAACAGCTGGTGGCAGTGGTCAAGTGCGTCAGGTTACGCTGCAATCGAATGCCGGCGCACCGGATAGTAATAATGGTCGTCAATCGCCAACGCGAAAGCTATTGCAACAGCAACATCAGCATCAGCATCAACATCAGCAACAGCAACAACAACATTCAATGCAGAGCGTCCTCAAGAGCAATAACACGCTAGGGGTAAATGATGCGAGCGGACAAAAATCGCTGCTAATTAATGGCAAGACGCAGGCGTTGATCGCACAGCAGCAGCTACAACAACAGCAGCAGCAGTATAAAACGTTGCAATTGAAGAGAGAATTTCAGCAACAGCAGCCGCAACAATATGACTCGAAATTACCGACGTTGTCGAAGGGCTTAAGTGCTAATATCAGTAGCTATAACAACCAAAGTGGTAGTAATGACACTGCCATCTACAATGCCGTTGATAACAAATTACTAAATTTTAAAATTAAATTAGAGCCCATAGATGAGAAACCGGATGTGACAACCACACCGGATTTGATGCAGGATGTGGCGAATGGCGGCATACGTCGGAAACACTGCAATTGCAGCAAATCACAATGCTTGAAATTGTATTGCGACTGCTTTGCCAATGGCGAATTCTGTCAGGATTGCACATGTAAAGATTGTTTCAATAATCTGCAATACGAGGATCAACGGCAGCGGGCGATCAAAAATTGTCTAGAACGAAATCCCAGTGCATTCAAGTGAGTACATTCAATTTAATATTATTATTATTTCGAATATTATTTTGTTCATGTTCATTTTCGCACGCATTCGAGTAGGGAACGTACCTAAGTTTGATGATGTATAATTTATTATAACCAAATTGCAGAACATTTTTGGATTCCAAGCATTTTGTAAAACCTCGGTGCCTTTACAAAATTATGTTTTTTGAAGAGCTACATACCCACATACATACGTTCTATATTAGCCCTCAAATTTATTAGTTCCAACGTTCTTACAAAAAATATTGAATGCAGTATAGGAAAATCGAAATAGTGAATATATGTATGTATTACAAAGCAAAGATGAAATAGAATACATGCTGCGAAAAATATACAAAATAAAAAAAAAAATCAGTATTGCGAATCTTGTAATACAATTAAATTATTGAACATACTCTGCCGGAACAAAGTATTGGCACAGCAAATTGTTCACAATATATACAACAATTTTTATTCTAATATTTTTCCACCAATTTTTGTATAAAAATATGGTTCATTCAACAACAAAAAACATAAAAATAAAATTCCTTAACTTTGTGCAAAACTCGCGAAAATTCAGCAAATTTTCATCAAAATTTAAAATTTTTTAATCAGAATTTTTAGAATTCTTTTGAGTATGCAGTTTTGCAGCCCATTAAATTCTTAATTGCATGTTCGCAGCCAAGGCGTATTTAACAAGGTGGTGTTGGCCGTATATAAGTAAAAAATTACACTAACAAATTATACGCTGATGTCCATACTGTCATTGGTATGAGTTACAACAAACACATCATTTTGACGTAATGGCCTCCACGGCGAAAAACTCAGCTGTCGCCCCAACACCACCTTGTTTAATACACCTTGTTCGCAGCTAGTCAAAAATTGCGTTGATTTTTGAGATTTTTTTTTTTTTGTTGAAGGTGTTTTGCATTTTTTCCATATAAAGTATTATTGAGAAAAATTTTTTGTTGAAGGTGTTTTGCATTTTTTCCATATAAAGTATTATTGAAAAAAATTGCCAAAAATCAACGGTAATTCCTATCTACCTAAAACTTGCACTTTATTATAAAAAAATTGATTGGGCTACAAATCTGCATACTCATAAAAATTCTAAAAAATCTGATTAAAAAGTTGAAAATTTTCATGAAAATTTGCTGAATTTTCACGAGTTTTGCACGAAGTTTAGGAATTTTATTTTTATGTTGAACTATATTTTTATAATAATTTACGTAATAAGTACCCAATACTCAGAAACATTAATTGCATTTCATCGAAATACTAATGGCAGAGCGTTTAAACCTATCACAACAACTCTCACTTTTTAAAGGATATTGAACCGAATATATCGTTTTATAAATTATATTAAAATTTGAGATGGCTTTTAAGCTTTTTTGCTGGCCAATTAATTTTTCCTATTCTTTTATAAAGAAAAAGGAAATAACTTTAAAATTAAAATAAAAAAATATATGTGTATACGAAAAATGTAAAAATTATATAAAAAATATCTAGAAAAATTTAAAAATAAACGTAATCAAAAATAAAACAATAAAAGTAATACAAAATTAAAAAATAGGACAAGAAAAATAAATAAAACGCATTAAAATTTAATAAAAATAAAAATTATAATAACAGTTAAACAACAAAAAATTATAAAACAGTTAAAATGTTAGTCGGACAGTTAACTGAAACCTACATACATATGTATGGTTGTATATCTGCAATAGCATTTATACCTTTTAACACTCGCCAAATGTTTACACCACATTAAGCACTTGTTTTGAATTTAAACTCATTTTTGAATTTGCTCTCAAACATAGTAGGCGGTGAAAGATACGTGAGCAGCTAAAAATAATAGAAAAAAAAAATAAAACGCGGTAATCGGTATTTTCGTTTTGTTTTTCTCCTAATACAAGGATCAACAATTTTTCAAGATTCATTCAACATTTTTCACATTTAAGTTTTCAAGTGTTAAAAAGTTCTTAAGCACTGTAACTAATAAAATACCTACATACATACATAATTTCCACCACATACATACATAACAATTTCAACATTTCATAGACCGAAAATAACCACCTCACGTGAACAAGGCGACATGCGTCACAACAAAGGCTGCAACTGTAAACGCTCCGGCTGTCTCAAGAACTATTGCGAATGTTATGAGGCGAAAATACCCTGCTCATCCAACTGCAAATGCGTTGGTAAGTGTTATGCACAAGCAGTGATACCTCTTCCTGTTGTCTCCTGCTATATAAAACATGTATTTACAAAACTAATGCTTATACCTTCAGGTTGTCGTAATATTGAGGAACGTCCCGATTTGGACTTGGATCCAATTGATCCGAAAATTTTGGCTACCATTGCGAGTGTTTCGCTGCCAGCTGCCGGACAAAAGCGTTCATATGACAAGGGCAATAACAAAACGGCAGGAATTGGTAATGACAAACTTTATAAGGATACCGCTAAAGCTCTAGCAATGGGTAGTGACTTGCTGGCTGGTCTTGCTGGCGGCAGCAGCAGTTTGGCTGGCAGTAGTTGCAGTGGCAGCAATGGTGTTGCAGGTGGCGCTGGTGGCGGTACCAGTTCAGCACAAGAAAAACAACAATGCAACTTTATTACGCAGGAAGTAGTTGATGCTACCATACAGTGCATGATCTCGCAGGCGGATGAATGCGAAAAGAATGGTTTGCCTGCATATCAGACCGAAAAAATGGTTATGGAAGAAATGGGACGCTGTTTGGTGGAAATAATCGATTTCTCAATACGCAATACCGATTCGAGTTTTACGCAGGATTAAACGTGTGGCGACTACGAAGAGGCATGAGGACGACGATCAATTGATGAATTGGATATGGAGCATAGTTTTTGAATATGAACAGACTAGCGTCGCCCTAGTTTGACGGTTTTTAATTTAATAAATTATAAAATATATTAACAGTAATCTATGCACATATACACATATACATGTATACATATAATAAAGTATATAACTTTAACAGAGTCTGTGTAAATAGGGACTTCTTTCACTACTTCAATTAGTGTAGCTCATATGCTTAGCCTCAAGTGGTTAGCGTTAAGCGGAATTGTCTATAAGCAATTTTAGTGCATATACTATTTGTAGAGGGGATATACTTAACGATTGCTGAAGAACAATTCGGTTCGTGCATGCAGTATATTCGAGAAATCGGTTATTTAAAATATGAGCCATCTATTTTGAAAGTGGCATAAGTAATTTTATGCAGTTTCAGTTCAGTGATAATATATCTATATATCTATATATGAACGCGTATGTCCAAATTTCATCAGCTAAAGGTCAAAACTTTGTGATTAGTTTATAACGGTAGAACGATTTACAGATGCATTCAGTTAGAGGTACCAACCATTTAAGCATAAGAGCTAGGAAATGACTTATGACACTTTCAAAATAATCTGATCATATACTAAGCTAAATAGTAAATATTTTCTTTAGTTGATACGCATTAAGTTTGAACAGTTTTTCGTCAGGTTTTTCTTTACCTTTTTAATTTATCGGTTAAACGGCTTTTTTGAAAAGCACAATGTTTCTTTTTAGATTATTTTATAACGGTATTTTGTAATTGTTTTCACCTTTTTTTAAGCTTAAGTTTAACGTTAAACGATATTTTCTTCAAATTATACTATATTTTATGATTACTTTCTATTGTACCTTTTGGTTGCTCTAATATTTACTAATAACGAAACAAAGAAAGCACTTACAATTAATTTAATTAAAATGCTAAGCATATGAATTTGCAACAATATGTACACACATATATGTATGCATATATTCGCTGTATGGAATAGTAGTTTATGTCGAAAGGCGTTCGCAGCATACGACTGCGCCGAGCCGTTGAAGAACTTTTAACTTTAACGCGGCATTATACTAAAGCCAGCTTCCTGACATAAGCTACTATTCCATACGAAAACAGATTATATACAGACGTTTCAATTACACAGCGCGTGTAGAAAAATACTATCTTAAAATGTATATTATATGGCGAGTGTCTAATCAAAACATGATATTTCCACTATACATTCGGCCCTATCGCGAATTTCACGTGAACAAATGTTCCCAAAATTTATAAAGGAAAACAAAAACAATTTTTCCCAATTTGTTTTTGTTTTGCTTATTAAATTCTGGGAACGATTTATTCACATCGAATTGGCAATGGGGCTAATTATTTTACAGGAGGAACAAAAAACGAAAATACAAAAACAAAAAACGTACTGAAAATATCGCAAATTTCAAAGTTTGAGTAGGTTTAAAAAATGTATTAGAAATTTTTTAAAGTGTAATAGAGTGTTTTTCAGACGTAACTCATTTTGAAGGTATTATTAAAAAAAAAAATGAAATAAAAAACTTGCAGAAGTGGAAATATCTTTTGATCAGACACTTCTCAGGCAAAAAAAAAGTTGAACACCATTTTAATACATATACATAACTGACTTAAAATTTGATGACTCTTAAACGAAAAAAAATTAATTTCAAGAATTAGTTTTAGGACTAACCATTGTATAATTTGACTCGTTGTAAATAAAGGTTAACATGTATTTAAAAAATATGTTATTTGTAGATTAAATGAATGTTTGCTTTAATATTTGTTGTAAGGCTATTTATGAGTTCGTAATTGGGGCTAGCATCAAATCTAAGGGATTTATATCGACTGAAATGCCAATTTTACACAGCTACAAGCAGGGCGAATTCATATAAAGTGATAGCAGCAGTACAAAAGCTGAAATTTACTCTAACAAATTATATACACGATAACAATCAGAACAGAAAATATGTTCAACAAATACATAATTTTGACAAACAGCACAATTTGCCTTGAAATCAAATGATCCGGTAACGCCACCTTGGATGAATTCGCCTTGGTTACAAGCAAATATCCAAGGCGAATTTATACAAGGCGGTGTTAACAGAACAAAAACAAAAATTACAACAACAAATTATACGCTCCTTGACAATCAGTACAAAGCCAAATTACAACAAACACATCATTTAGACAAAAGGTACAAATTCGCCGTGAAATCAGCGGATCCTATAACACCACCTTGTATAGATTCGCCTTGCAAATATCTGCTGCTGTTGCTTTTGTAACAGCATAAAAATTTGCCACAGCGTTCATAGCTGCAGTGACAGTCCTTGGCCAGACAGAAGTTTGCGTCGTTCCGGTTACGTAAGACTGTCGCACGACCCCGCTCAGCGTGATGTGTTCTAGCGGCTACAACAACCCCGCCCAGATCGGTTGGTATGCCAGTTGTTGTTGTCAAACTCAACTAACGGAATACCCAAGAAGCGTGCAGCCTCTAAATGGTCTGTCCACAGGGACAGAGGCGTTAGTTGTGTAGAGTTTTCCGGGCATACGAAGAGATGTTTCGAGGCGTGGGGTGTCTCCGCCTGCTGGACACTCATTTGGCACATCTGCATCTAAGCTGCTCAGGTATGAGTTCAACCTGCTGTGGTTGTGTGGCCAGAACGGCATTCACAGGTCTGGAAGAGTCTACGTAACTTGCGTACGTTGCTATGGACTTCGTCCGTCAGTTCATATAGATGCCTTCTGACATGCCTTGGCGAGGGCTCCTCTGCAAGCAAATGTCTGTTCGGGTGTCCACGTCTAGGCCTCACTACTAAGAATTGCTTGCAGAGCATTGTGTTGTGCTCCCTTATTTTCGCCTCGAAATGTAGGTGATGTTCTGGCAATACCAGAAGACATCCGGTCGCTGCCCGAAGTGCTGTGTGCTGTCTGCAGCTTCGTGAACTGCGTTATGATAGTTAAACAGTAGCGTTGAAAGGATACCACCCTGTGGAAACCCCCGTTTTATTTTTCCAGGTTTGCTCGATTTGTCTCTAAACATTACTGACGAGTTTCGACCACTCAGAAAATTCGCCGACCACCATTTGAGTATCTGTGGGAGAGAGGAGGCCTCTATGTCTTCTAGCAGCGTGAAGTGGCTGCCGGTATCAAACGCCTTTGACAGATCCAACGCTACTAGAATAGCTTTTTAAAGCTTTCTATAGATTTCATATAGAAATAGAAATGCACGGATTAAATGTTCTCTCTGATAGTCGTTAAATAGAACTACATATTACTTTTTTCAAATTCAGTTTCCGAACGAAACCGTGGCAAAGCCCTTGAAAGCTTTCTGTAGATTTTCAAAAATTTTGGAAAGCTTTGTGCAACTATGATTCATGTTGGGCATGCACGTTGTAAAGCAGTCAGGCGGAGCTTACTTAATATTTTTATAGTTATGTATTATTCGCTTTTTTCGAAATGTCGTTATCACAATCCCGTGAACCCCCGAATCGAAAAAATTGCTTCTAAGTATATTGGTTGAGAAGCTCTCTATAAAATAAATAAGAAATAAATGGGTGTGAAACCTACTTTTTAGTTTAAAGTGGCGTTTTTTTCTCTCTGACGTCAGGATTTATTTTAAAGAAGTGCGTAATTTCCAAGATATGATTAATTCCAAAAATTCTTTAAAAAATTCAATGCAATGTAAAAATGGCCGGGATTCCGCGATCCCGGGACTAACATTCCTATTATGTATGCACTTACCAGCGTAAAGATAATTATTCCTTAATACGTATGTATGTAAATTAGGGTGCATCACTTTCCATAAAAAAAACGGTACTGTTTTCTCATGGGAATTACAAAATCTATTATATTTTGAGACTTCCGCCAAAAAACATTTCAGAAAAGTATTAAGATTTAAATGAATTGTTTATAAATAATTAATTAAAAAAAACATCACCTCAGTTGAAAAACGAGTTTAAGCTTTGAAGGTCTGCATAAAAATGTTTAAACATTTTATCGACGTAATCAAAATAAGGAGTTTTTATAAGGTATTTGCAAATCGGTCCAGCTCACGTAAATCTTAACATTTTTCCGAAATATTTTGGGGGAAGTCTTAAAATATATTAAATTTTATATATCTGGTGAGACACTCTAATGTACGCACAGTCAGAGTCAAAAGTTAGTATGCACCTTGTTCTAATAGTATAATATTCACACTTATTTTCATGAAACAATTTTTCATTAATTTTTTATGAAAATATAGTTCATAACATAAACCATATAAATCAAAGTGTGAAACTTTATGTATATTTAATTCACAAAAATTCAAAACATTTTTATCAAAATTTTAAACACCGTCAATAAAAAAAAAAAATGTAAAAAATCAATTATAATTTATAAAAAATTGAAACTTGCACTTTTTGTACTAAAACTGAATGGGCTGCAAAACTGCATACACGAAAATTTGCTAACAATTCTGAATAAAACATTTAACATTTTGATGAAAATTTTTAGAATTTGTGTGAGATTCATATAGTTTTTATTATAGAATGAGCTATATTTTCATAAAAAATTAATGAAAAAATGTTTTCATGAAAATACTTGTGAATATTATATTAGAACAAACATGCTAATTTCTTTACTCGTGGCTGTATATTAAATCCCAAAATAAAAAGCGTTTTTTTTGTTTTTGAGTGGGTGTAGCTCGTTTATTCACCAACAACTTGAATTATCTGTATCTGCAAAATCTTCGCATCATTTATAAATTACACAATAAATAGGTATGTATGAATACCATATACCACATTGTTTTTAATACTGCATTTACTTACATATACACATGTATATTAAATATGTGTTTTTGCATATAAATGTTTTTGGTTTTTGGTTTTTAGTTTTTTGCTTACCTAAATAACTTATTATGCCATTAATTTATTTCTAGGTTATATGTTGCTCTTAGTAATATTTATAGTTTTTTTTTTTAATGTGTAGTAAGTTTGTAAAGTTTTTCTAAGTATTTTGTGTTGATTACTTGTTTTGTTTTTCTTTTGTTTAGAAACATTTACGACAAACTGGTTTCTCTCATAGTTATATATAAATATAATATGCATTTGTTTTTTAGTATTTTTAGCAGATATTGGGCAAATTTCTGCAAGCGTTTTTTGTTTTTTGTTTCATTTCAATTTTAATTTTAATTTCTGAGCGAACTGGAATTTTTTTTCTTTATTTTTAAGAACATTTAGGTCTATCGCTAAAGTGAAAGCTGCAAGTGTATTTTTTTGTTCATAAATGTACATATTTTGAGTCCTATGCCCTAACGTATTTTTTTTTTTTTTAGATATTTTATATATATATGTATATATTTTTTTTTTGTTGAAAAATGCATACATATTACACCTTTCTTTGCATTGTTTTGTATATCGCGTGTATTTAAGTGAATTCCCAAAGGTCACAAAGAGCTTTCAATAAATTGAAATAGACATAAAGACATAATTTTTGTATTTTTTTTAATAAGTAAGTAAATAGTTATAATATTTTTGCAAGTGCAGTACAATTTTTTTTTAATATATGTATTATATATTTTTTAATGTTTGTTTACATATCGAATTATTATTTATTTTTTAATAATCAATGTCATCTGTCATCCTGGCGCTTTCTAATACTGTGCACAAAATCTGTGTTGCTTCTTGTAGTTAAATTTTTTTTCATTTCTCTGCTATTACTAATTTGATACGTAAATAAGTTTATGGCTTATAACTTGATTATAACATATTTTTTATAGTTTTAGTTTTTATAGTTTTATGTTTAGGTTACATTGAGTAAGTAGTTATACATTTTATACAGTGTTTGACCCCATACCAGCTTTTTATTAGATGCTTTACTTAATAAATCAATACATTTTTATGGCCACATATTTAAATAATGTAAATAGCAAACATTTTTTTTAAGTGGTATTTTTTTTGTATGCAGTTTTCTTAATTAACCACAAAGCAGAAATTATTTATTATTATTATCATTTTTTCAAATGGTCCATTTACACATATAAACGTAGATACATTTAATTTTTATATACATACATACTACTTTATATTTATATTAAGTTTGGTGTTTCTTCTATTTTTATTTTTTTTTTTGTGTTTTGTTCTCGCACCAACCTTTTCTTTGCCTTGCCTTGTTCTGAATCTTAAATTTGCTTATTTTTGTATATATTGCAAATTTTTAAGGTTAAGTGCATTTAAAAATTTTTCAAAATTTAACGCTGCAACTGTAATTTATCAATATATTGTCTAATTCACACAAAAAGTTTGCATTAACGGCACGCCAAACCGTTATATTACTTTTGATAACTAGTATTTTTTTTTCTTGCATAAAATACATATGTGACAAATGTAAGTTTAAGTTTTTTATTGCATATTTTTTATTTATTGATTAATAAGCAATTTTTAATTTTTAAGAATTTTTCAGCTAACGCAAAAACGGATATTTCTTAGATTTGAATTTATGTTATATATGTATATATACGTATTTAACCTCACATTTGAAAACTGCACCGCTGTGTTACCCTGTACAATGCTTTTGTTTGAATTTTTCTGTGCTTTCCTTTTTGACTGCATTTTTTTATGATATATTTATTGAATACTCGTATTTATTGTGTAAACTATTACTTTGCATGTATATTCAAATTTTATTAATGTATTTAATTATTTTATTTTTTTTTTCCGGCTATTTGCATTTGTTTCAG